GCAGTTACTTATGAAACCAAACGTACATATTCTTACTACATGATCCGGCAATCGTATGGATATTTACCAAAAAGAGGTGAAAACGTATGTCCACACAAAAACATACACACAGATACTTTGGGCAGCGTTGTCAATAACTGCCAAAGTGTGGAAGCAACCAAGATGCCCTTCAGTAGGTGAGTGGGTAAATAATCTGAGGTACATTCAGAGAATGGAATATGATCCAGTACAAAAATGAAATGAGCTATCAAGGCATGAAAAGACGTAGAATAACCTTAAGGGTATAATACCAATGAAGAAAGCCAATCTGAGAAGGCTGCCTACTGTATGAGTTCAACTATACGAACATTCTGGAAAAGGCAAACGATGGAGCCAATCTAAAGAGCAGTGGTTGCCAGGGGTTGTGAGGGGAGGGCGCAAGAGGCAGAGCACAGGGGACTTTTAGGGCAGTGAAACTCCTCTGGATGACACTCTAACGATGGACACATGTCATTATACATTTGTCCAAACCCATAGAATGTACAAGCCAAGTAAGAACCATAATGTAGATGATGGGCATTGGGGAATACACTGTGTCAGTATAGCTTCATCAATTATAACAAATGTCCCAGTCTGGTGGGGGATGTTGATAATGACAGAGGCAATGAATGTGTTGGGGCAGGGGGTAAGTGGGAAATCTCTGTACCTTCCTCTTCAGTTTTCTGTGCACCTAAGAAGCTCTAAATAAAGTCTTCAAAAGCAACACACAATATGAACAACGATAACTAAACAACCAAACAGGAGAAAGCCCTGGGGGAGACTGAAGACTGCAGTGAGCTGGTACTTGTGTTTGGGTGGGGGCGTGGGCAGCGGCAGTCAAGTTGGGAGGGGCTGTAGGTTGCATAGATGCAGATGAAGGGTTGGGGAAGAGGAGAGGCTTCAAACTTCTGCTCCTGCTTCACTGTACACATCTGAAGCAGGCCCTCAGGCCACACAGGCCAGTGGCCCTGGGGCAACACTAGGGCAGCGGGAAAGATGGGTTGATTAAGGCATTTGAGTCCAGAGTCTGTGCTAATAACGGCCTGAAACCATCTTAGCCGGTGAGGACTGGCCTTTCAAAAGATTCTCATTTTAAGAGAATATAAAGAATACACAAGAAACGGAAGAGGCAGTATCACAGCCAATCACATGAAGAGAAGGCATTCTTTCATCAAATAAGCATACACACATATAGTCTACATATAGCTATAAAGACATAATAGGAACATACACGTGCCTAGGTGCATACTCCCGTGCCATGTCCACACACGAGTCTAGCAGCACATATCAGCTACAAATGTGTTCTAGATGTAGATACAGACTCCCGCAGTGGGCAGAGATGTACAATGTATTTCTTACTAGGAAGGAGGATAAATGAGTGAAAATCCCTGCACTGAGCACGCAATAGGAGGTCGCCATAAACCCGGAGGAGCATCCCAAAGTCCCCGCAGCTGCTCAGCCTGGACAGGACAAACACAATCCCGAAAAGAAATGGTTCGCCGAGTCCGGCTCGCTGGTGTCGAGACCCCACGGGAAGGGGGCTTCTCCCGTGAACCCCTTCGGCCCTGGGCACGACAGCCCCCATCCAGCCCTTCCCCAGGATGGCAGCCCTTCTCAGCCAGGGTGGACGAGGACCCTCCCGAGGGAGGCGGGAGGGCAGCCCCCGCCCCAGAGCACAGGCCCACAGAAGCCCCGCGCCCCTCCTGTGTGCTCTGCGGGACCCAGGGCAGGACTGTCAGCCGAGGGCTACCCGCCCCCTCCGCAGCCAACAGGGGGTCAGAGCCTGGGGGTGAGGGACACAGACTCAGGGGGCAGGGCGGGGCTGCGGCCCAGGGCGAGCGAGAGTCAAGGAGAGGATCCCCGGGAGACCCGTGGCCATGGTGACCGGATGTGACGTTCCCTGGCTTCCGCCTTGGAGGTCTGTGGACACCTAGGGCCTCACTCAGCGAGGCCGGATTCAGGGCAGCAGAGGGAGGGAGGCCAGGCCCAGCCAGGCGCCCAGGGAGCCCCAGGAGGGAGGACTCCGGGCCCAGGGGTTCCAGGTCTGCCCCTGCTGTCAGCCCTGAGGGACCCTGGGGGACGAGAAGTGGTCCGGCTGAGCCCCCGTCCCCCTCCTCAGAGGAGCCTGCTGGGGAGGGCCTCGGGGAAGGGAGCAGACTCAGGGGCAGAGGCGGGGCCAGGCTGTGCTGGGCGTCAAAGAAGGAGCAGAGGGCAGTGGAGGACCCCAGGTAGTCTCTCCTGATCCCTGCCCTCAGCCCTGGGAGTCCCCGGGTTTAGTGGCCTAAGGCAATCACCACAGACTTCCCCACGGGTTTCAGGGCCGTGAGGGCTCAGGTCCACAGAGGGAGATCCCAGGACCTACCAGGGCTCAAGGTGAGGGAGGACAGAGGTGACCCCACAGAAACAGGCCCCTGCTGTCAGTGCCAGGAGGCCCCGGGGCGCCATCACTAGATTGGCATTTCCCCCCTTCTGCATCCGGGTTTCAGAGAGACGGGGGACTGGGTCAGAGGAGCAGCGCCTGAGGGGGCAGAGCGGGACGCCCAGGGGCTGCTGGAGTCCCAGGGAGACGCCGAGGGAGGGCTGAAGACCCTGGACCCCAGGACAGAGAGGGACCCTGTGGCCCTGCGCTCGGGCTTGGGAGGCCCCAGAGAGGGCCACCTCAGGAGGCGTGTCCAGCCTTCTGCCTCCGGAGTCTTCAGGGGGTGAGGACTGCGGATTCAGGTCAGCCGAGGGTGGGGTCCCTGGACCCCGTGGGCGGACTGAGCACACCCCCAGCCCAGGCATAGGCGACCCCAGCAGAAATCTGCCCCTGTGGTCAGTCCTGCGAGGCCAGGCAGGATGTCAGGAGGGGTGGCCCGTCCACTTCCTGCTCGGTGTCTCAGTGGCATGGTGGCCTTGGCCTGCAGGATGCTACTTCGGGTTAGCAGAAGGGAAGGGTCCAGGCCTGGCCAGGAGTAACTAGGAATACCTTGAGGACTCTGAGGGGACTCCCACCCCAGGCAGAGGGGGGCCCACTGAAATCGGCCCTGCCCCTGTCACCCTGAAGACCCCAGGCAGGGGTGGCGGCAGGTGGTGCAGCCCACTCACCTCTGCCTCGGGCTCTGCCAGGTGAGGCCTTGTTCTGTGGGGCGACGGCGGGTCAGCAGAGGGAGCCACATCGGTCAGCAGAGGAAGGGGTCCCGGATCTGCCCGGACTCCAGACAAGGAGCCTTTGGGAGGAACGGAGGGCATGGAAGTTCCCGCCACCCCAGAAGAGAAGGAACCTCACAGAGGCCAGCTTCCCCTGTTGTCAGCCTGGGTGGCCCCAGGCAGGGAGGGCTGGATGTGGCCTGCTCCGACTTCCGTCATATGGTTGTGGAAGGGGGATGTCAGGGAGGTGAGGTCTTGGTCTGAGGGGCACAACAGGTCAGCCGCGGGCGGAGTCCCAGGATCTGCCTGGTGTCAGGGTGAGGACCCTTCCTGAGGACTGAAGGTACCCCCCACCTCAGCAAAGAAAGGACGGCACAGAGTCCAGCTGTCCCCTGTTCTCAGCCCTGGAAGGAACAGTCAGCGGTGGTCCCACATGGCACGCTCACTTCTAGCCTGGGCGGGAAGGTGGGGGGTCCTCAGGAGGAGAGGGCCTGGTCTAAGCGGGAGATGTCAGCTGTCCCAGGCGGCGGGCTGGGAGGAAGGGCAGGCCCCAGCAGGAGAAAAGACGAATAACCTACAGGAGGTCTGGGGGACCCACCCCAGGACACGGGGCTGGTCCCTGCTGCCACCTTTTGTGATGGCAGCAGGGGTGCGGGTGGGTGGGGGTGAATGTGCAGCCTCCTCCCGTTTCTCTCAGAGGCTCAGGGAGGTGAGGACCTTTGTCTGTGAGGACAACGTCAGGTCATCTGAGGAAGCACATCTGGTCAGCTGACACATTCCAGGAGTCAAGGACCCCGAGGGAGGAGTGAGTGTACCCCCATTGCCAGGACAAAGAGGGGGCCCACGGAAATCTGGCCTGGCCCTACTGTCAGCCCTGGCACCCCCCGACAGGGCCTGTCTGGCTGAGCCCCTCCTCATTTCCAAGTCGGTGGTCTGGGGAAGGGGGCAAGGGCCTTGGTCTGAGGGTCTGGACTCAGGTCAGCGGAGGCAGGATCCCAGGCCCTGGCCGGGGTCACGGTGAGGACTGAGGGGACCCCACACCCCGGGACGCATGCAGCCCAGGCAGCCCTACCCTGCTGTCTGCCATGGGGACACCCGGGATCGGTGGGTGGATTCAGTCCCCCTCACTTCCCCTTCCGGTGTCTTCGGGAAACCAGGCCTTGGCTGAAGGAGGGTGGCCCCAGGTCAACAGAGGGAGTTGACCCAGGCCATGCAGGGTGTCGAGATGAAGACTGAGCAGACCACTCGTTCCAGGACAGATGCAACACACAGAGTTTGGTCTCACTTCTCGTCTCTTGCTGCCTCCTGTTAGCCCCTGGTCAGGTGTGGCCAGATGTGGGGCCCCCTTACTTCCTTCTGCTCAGTCTCATGGGTGGGTGGTCTTGTTCTGAGAGGTTTGCCTTAGGCCAGCAGAGGGGTGGGGGTCCAGCCCAGCCAGGGGAAAGGTGAGGACCCTGAGTGAGCTCTGAGGGCACCGCGTACCCCAGAACAGTGGGGACCTCACAGAGTCCGGCCCACCCCTCCCATCAGCCCTGGTGGCCAGGGCTGTGCTTTCAGTTTGCACCCTGAGGTGCCCCATGTTTCCTCTTACAGGGGCTCCAGGAACCCAGTGGTGAAGGCTTGTGTCCTCAGATCACAGAGCAGAAGAGGCCCAGGCAGTGCCAGGAGTCAAGGCAAGGGACACACTCCGAATGTGTATCCAGGGGTTCCCCGACACCAGAACTGAGGAGACCCTGCAGAGCCCGAGCCCACCCACCCAGCCCCAGCCCACCACCAGCACCAGAACCTCAGGCTGTGCTGGGTGCTCCCTGGGGAGCCACCTCATTTCTTCCCTCAGATCCCTAGGGCACAGGCCACCCTGGACAACAGATCCCTGTGAAGCCGAGAGCACCCCTAAGAGGAGACCTGCAAGTCGCCTTTGTCCGAGCCACCAAGGGTGCATTTCTCAGCTGAGGCCACTCATACTCCCTCTCTCCCGCAGGCTCCAAGGTCCCCATCAGTCACCTCCTGCCCATGCTCCTGCCGGGTGCCGGACACACATCGTCATGACTCTAGGTCGGATGGGTGAGCTCTGCAAGCGTGAGGAAGACCATCAGGACCCAAGAGAGGCCCAGGGCCTGGTGGATGCGCAGCTGTCCGGGGCTGAGGAGGAGGAGGCCATATCCCCCTCCTCCTCCCCCTCTGTCCCCTTCCTGAGCACCCTGGAGGAGGTGGCTGCTGCTGTAACCCGGAGTCCTGACCAGGGCTCTCAGAGTGCCTGGCCGTCCCCGACTGCCATGGCAGCTACTCCATGGAGCCAGTACGGAGACAATGGTTCCAGCAGCCAAGATGAGGAGGGACCAAACGCATGGGAGGACCCGGGAGACACTGACTCCTCGCTCCAAGACGCACTACGTTTGAAGGTCACTGACCTGGTGGGGTTCCTGTTGCTCAAGTATCGCACAAAGGAGCCCACCACAAAGGCGGAGATGCTGAATACGGTCCTCAGAGATTACCAGGACCACTTCCCTGTGATCTTCAGCGAAGCCTCTGAGTGCATGCAGCTCGTCTTTGGTGTTGATGTGAAGGAAGTGGACCCCAGCGACCACGCCTATGTTCTGGTCACCACACTGGGTCTCACCTACGATGGAATGCTGAGAGGTGAGCAGATCATGCCCAGGACTGGTCTCCTGGCAATGCTCCTGGGCGTCATCCTCCTGGAGGGCAACTGCCCCCCTGAGGAGGGCATCTGGGAAGCACTGAGTGTCATGGGGGTGCGTGCCGGGAGGGAGCACTTCATCTACGGGGAGCCCAGGGAGTTGCTCACCCACGTTTGGGTGCAGGAGCAGTACGTGGAGTACCGGCAGGTGCCCAGCAGCGATCCTGCATGCTACAAGTTCCTGTGGCATCCCAGGGCCCACGCTGAAACCAGCAAGATGAAAGTCCTGGAGTATTTGCTCAGGGTCAGTAGCAGGGATCCCAGTCCCTTCCTCCACCTGTGTGAAGAGGCTGTGAGTGATGAGGAAGAGGCGCCTGAGCCCGAGGGCAGCCAGGCACGGTCCAGGCCCACGTCCAGCAGCTTCTCCTGCTGGGCATGAAGTGAGGCCACTTCTTCACTGCGTGTTTCAACAGAGAGCAGTGAGTGTCCTAAGTAGTGGAGGGGCGAGGTGGGAGGACACGGTGGATAGCGTCTGTGGGTTCCTGTCCTCTGTGATGTATCCTGGAGATGGATCTTGGTTTCCATTAGGAATTTTTCAAATGTTGTTCCTTTTAATAGAAAGTTTAATTTGCTTCAGTGTCTGTGATGACATTGATCACATATGAATTTATACTTATCCAGTCCAAGAGTAAGAGTTTTGCCATTTTGTAAAAGTAATTAGGGCACCTTCCATCATAGTCTGTGATCTGAACTGGATGACATGGCACTGGAACAGGAATTTCTTGGAAATGTGAAAGAACTTAGCCGTCAAATTGATAAGGTGAAGAAATAAATGTAGAAGGTACTTAATTCTTGGCTTCTTAGCCCTTCTCGTCTGTCGTTCTATCAAACTAAAAGAAATATGTATACCCGGATTTGTTGGGTTGATTCGAGTAAGTCGGAGAAATTTAATCTGCATAAATAAGACCCCTGCTCACTGGCTTATTTCTTCCCCAGACTTTTGCTGAGCCTCTGCTCTCTGGAAGGCCCTGTGTCAGTTTCGGGGACAGCAGGATGGGGGGGGTACCCCCACACCCATAGAATGAGAGTCTGGGAGCGGCAGTCCCAGAAGAAAGGTGGTGAGGTGTCCCCTCCAGGACAAGTCAAAGAAGGTGGGAGGTGGTGCAGCCCCAGGGGAGCGCGCTCACGTGTAAACGCCCTGAGTCAGGGCAGTGTGGGGCTTCGGGAAACTGCGGTTCCTTCTGTGGGAGTTGGTTGTCATGAAGCTTGGTGGTGGCAATGGCCAGACTCACAGTGTGTCTTAGGGCTGAGGGGCAAGTCTGAACTGGAAAATTTCTCTGAAGACTTTCTTAGGGATCACGGGTAACCAGAGAGAAATCTCCTCCTGGGCAGGAAGGGAAGGTGTCCTGGGCTCTTGTCTCATTGCAGTTGAACACAGTGAAGAACATGGTGTTTGACAGCCATCCATCTGCATGGATTTCCCAAGAAATACGATCACATTCCTTTGAAGTGTTTCCCAGAAGTCAGTGGCCTGGCACTCCTCTCCCAGGCCTGGGAGAACCAGAGCCCACAGCATAAATTAGGTGTTAATCTTAATTGAGTTTAATTGGCCAATTGTAATGAAGGGCTAGATTTTGGTGGGGTGAAATGAGTGGAAGTAGTGGTCTGGATGAAGAGCAGCTTGGAGGGAGGCAAGGAGTCGGTCCTTGACTCTGTTTCTAGGAGCTCTGTGTTCCATCCAGCTGGGAAGACTCCCCCACCCCCGAATTTTCACATATATCCTCTAGCTGGGAAGATCTACTGAGTTTCATTTGTGAAACATCCTTTTTGGCTGATTAGTTATTTCATGTCCTGTTGAACTGCATGTTCTCTAATACGACCTGGACAACAAACAAACAAAATCCCAGAGGAGAGAGTGGAAGGTCTGGGATCAAAACAATCCTAGAAATAAGTGCCAGTCCTCAAAGTTCCCATGTATACCAGGCACTGTGCCAGGTGTTTTCAAACATCCCATCTGTTCCTGCAGTCCTACAAGACAGGGCTCACCAACCCACTGCCTTCGCAGAGGAAGAGCCCGAGGGTCATAGCGCTTGGTAACTTTCCCAGGATCACATGGCTAGTAAGCGACAGACAGACTAGACCTGGGTCTGGATTCATCTAGAGCCCATGCTGTTGCCACTCATCCCAGCCTGCAGCCCACCTTCTGACTCCTCATTCATTTCTCTTCCCAGTTCTCCATGATGTCTCTCAGGTGACAAAATTAGGACCCTGAGGCCCAGGTAGTGAAAGCAGGCCTAAAGAAGGAAGGCAACAATGAGGATCAAATACAATTTGGGGATGGCCTGAGGTCTGTTGAGGGCTGCTTCCTCCGGGCGTCTCCATTTCTGTCCAGTCTCAGCACTTTTCCACATGACAGCACCCTTCTCCTGGTCTTCCCCCATGGGCCCTCCTGTCCAACTCTGGAACCTGGCTGGCTGACAGGGTCTTTGCTGCCGCCCTCCCTGAAGGTTGCACAGGACCTCCTGCCCTCCCCGTGACACAGAGCATTCCTACTCCCTGCAGGGGTCCCCGTGCCCTCCCATAGCTCACCCTCGATCCTGTCATAGAGCCACAGCTGCTTTCCTGAGAAAGGTTACTCTGGACTGTGACGTTTAGACAACTGGTCATCCCTCCCTGGGAGCGTTCGACACACTCGCTGTTTGTCAAATGGGCTGTGAGTAGAGTCTGATTGCACCTATAAACTACTAGGACCTGGCATACAACCCTGAAGTTACATAAGGATTTGTGAAGCCATCCTGGTCTTTGCAGTAGGACTTTAACGGGCTCCTTATTTGATGCTGGGAACTGAACACCTACACAGGTGAAAGAGCTGGTTTAGGTGGTCAGAAGTTAACGCCTCATCACAAGCGGTAGATGAGGAGCAATCATCCACTGAAGCTGAATTCCTACGAACCCTGGAATCCTCCTAGGAGGTGAGAAATGGTTCCCTGGTGGACACGTTAGGTCAAACTTACAAAGATAAAACAACCATTCTCCCACTGTGTCTTGTCTGGTACCTGCCCCTCAGGACAGTCCTGGCTTTCAGTGAGCCTGGGGGCACCTATGCCGCTGTTCAGGGAAGTTCAGTCATGTGGAGGGTAGACGAGACCCACAGGCTAAGATTTCACCCCTGCATCAGAAGGAAGCCTACTGAGATTATAGACTGACAAATAAAAATGGCAAGTAATAGGATATATTGGAATATATGAGGAAGCCATTTGGTGTAAACCTAATTCGGCCTGACTTTGTTTTTTTTTTTTTCCAAAAGGGCCTGACTGGCTGTTGAGCACCCATTGCATATCTGCTTAGACATTTCCTATGGCCAGAACAAAGGCCCTTGAGATAAAGGTGCAACTTCCCCCCACATTAGCATTTCCTTAGAGATAAGCATTTTTCCTTAGGCTTGGAACTGATTGCTGCACTCACCTTTGACCACCCAGCTCACCTGTGACCACTCAGCTGGAGACAACAGACTGCCACCCTGCTGTGTTCACTGAGACAGAAGGCCTACCTGCTGTTTCCATCAATCGCTGTGCCGACAGAGCAGTCTCGCGACTATTGTAAAAGGGACATTTCAATCCTATGTGAAACATCCTCTCTGGGGGTATATAACCAGTCTGTGCACCCCACTTCCTTGGTGCCCTTTCTTCCTTTGGGAAGAAAGGCCCCGGGTTATAATCCTCAGATTTAAGCTCAGAATAAACTCACCCAAATTTTCATTTATAGATTGGTTGTGGATTATTTTTGTCAACAAGACGGTATCGCAAAGGGAGTGCAGAAAAGTGCCATAGAGCGAAGAAGGCTAACCCTCCCTGCTGAGATTGACAGGATCCTCTTACAATGAGATGTGCTTCTGTATTTGAGAGCATCTGTTGCATAGTAGGCACTTAACACTTCAGAGAATTTCAAGGCAAACCTGACCTCAGAAACTCCTCCACACAATGAGTACGGTTGTCGTGATAACAAGTTATAATGGTTGCTTTGTATTGGGCACCTACTATGTAACAGGTCATGGGAGAGACTTCAGTGTTCATCCGTATCTTGTCTAGCTGCCTTTCCTGGACACAGGAGTCACTACATTGCCAGGCCACTTGTAGTTACGCAGGGTCATGTGACAACCCTTTGCCAGGGAGACCTGAGCAGAAGCATTGTTTGTCACATCCAGGCATTTGAGAGCCAGTATACCAGTTTCATTCTTTCTCTCTCTCAATTCGCCAGTAAACATGGTAACCCCGTGTTGAGGTGGTGGAACCAAAAGATGGAAGCAGCCTGGATCCCTGGGTCACCTAGAGCAGAAGGCCCCTGGCAAACCACATCAGAATTTATGTGCACAACAAACACACTTTTCTTGCGTTAGCCTTTGAAATGTCAGGTTTGGTCTGTTGCCCCCACTAGCAGTAAGTTTAATTGACATAGCTACTTTTGCTGTTGTTAGATTTATAAAAATACTTTATAATATAAAGATTACTATATATTGCATATATTATATATTACATATATTGCATATATTCTTGTTGCAAAAAATTCTAAAATAGAACTAAATCACAATTCCACCCTTTACAAAATTCTTCCCAAATTCAGCCCCCTCCTCTGAGTTCGCCACCAATAATATATTGCTGTACGCTATTTCAAAGCTTATTCTAGGCTTTTTCATACGTAAATGTGCTATGAAATATGCGGCATTTTTAACGTACATAGGTAATGACATACATATTGATCTATCACTTTCCTTGCCACTTAATAAGATGAATGCAGGATATTCCCATGACAGCACATATAGATATAGCTCACTTTTACAAAAAACACCAAATAACCCTATTCAAAAATGGGCAAAGGAGTTGACTAGACATTTCTCCAAAGAACATATACAGTTGGCCAATAAGCAAATGAAAAGATACCCAACATCACTAATCATTAGGGAAATGCAAATCAAAACCACAATGAGGGGTGCCAGCCCCGTGGCCGAGTGGTTAAGTTTGCGCTCTGTGCTTCGGCAGCCCAGGGTTTCGCTGGCTCGGATCCTGGTCTAGGATCCTGGGCGCAGACATGGCACCACTCATCAGGCCACAGTGAGGTGGCATTCCATGTGCCACAGCTAGAAGGACCCACAACTAAAAAGTATACAACTATGTACTGGGGGGATTTGGGGAAGAAAAAGCAGAAAAAAAAAAAGAAGATTGGCAAAAGTTGTTAGCTCAGATGCCAATCTTTAAAAAAAACAACAAAACCACAACGAGATACAATCTCACACCCATTCAGATGGCTACTGTCCCCCCCACAGCCCCAAATAAAAGCTCAGAAAATAACATCCATTGGGGAGGATGTTGAGAAATTAGAACCATTGTGCACGCTTGGTAGGAATGTAAGATGACACAGCTGCTGTGGGAAACAGTATGGCAGTTCCTCAAAAAATTAAAAATAGAATTTGCATGTGATCCAGCAATCCCATTTATGAGTATGTACCCCAAAGAATTGAAAGCTAAGTCTCAAGAAGATATTGGTACACCCATGTTCATAGCAGCATTATTCATAATAGCTAAAATGTGGGTATGACGTTGTGATTTTGAGAAAAATACATATTTGGCCACTCAGATGACCAACATATATTTCTCATATATATTTGTTCCTTGTCCAGCATTTCTGACTCACAGCTCCCAAATCCCTTCGGATTTTCTAAGTGTTGAGAGCAACAGAGGTAACTCTTTTTATGTTAATAAGCTGACTTTTGGACCCCACCCAAGGATGTGGGCTGATTGCCAGGAGAACCAAGCATATGATTAGAGAGTTGGAATTCTCAGTCCCACTCTCCC